TTTTACAAACCTGTATACGTTCATTAAGTGTTAATACCACAATGGAAGACTGGGAAATTGATTGCTGAATACCACAACCTGTATACGTTCATTAAGTGACTCAATCGACTAGTCATGGTTTTTGAGTCGAACGAGTCAAATTGGCCCCACCTGTCATATTGTTTTCTTATTAGCTTGCCCAATCCCCCCTGGAAACCTAGATCGCCCAGTCCACTCCCCCGCCCAAACCTCTCCTGCAACCCTCTCTCTTGGCCGGCGCCGCCGCAAGCTGGTCTGCTCCTCCCCTGGTTGCTGCTGCTGCTGGTCTGCTCCTCCCCTAGTTGCTGCGGCTGCCGGTCTGCTCCTCCCCTGGTTGCCGCCGGCTGCTGCAGGCCTGCTCCTCCCCTACCCCAGAACGACTTGTCGACTCATCGACTTGAAAACCTTGAGCCTCAAGCACTGCTCTTTCTCCAGGATTAATTCTTAGAAGTTGCCGTGTTCGGTTGGAAGTTATGATCTTGCAAATGATCCAGGATATTTTCTGCTTTTTATGTGTGTGTGATTTGGGTTTGAATCGGGGCCCTTAAGGTTTGTTTTTGGAGTTTGCGTTCAAATTATTGACGGGCAGACTGGTATCCTTTTCCTTTTTTGTTTTGGGAAATCATTTGGGTTACATTTTAGTGTTGCTTTAAGCTTAAAGATGATATGCAAGTGCCACTTTCTCGGTTAGAAACAGCCGCATTGCATGAGAATTTCGTATGTACATTGACTTAGGGTTATTCTCTGGAGTCGATGCTTTTGGTTCGAACTTATGATCTTACAATTGATCAAGGATATTTTTTTGGCTTAGAGTTATTATCTTCCAAGGGTGCAGTCAAAATTATGTTCATTTTTGTTATTTCAGTTCGAATCTTGGTCCTCCGGGTTGTTTGTGATTTTGGGTTTCAAGGTAACTATGGAGGTGCTATTTTAGTGACATGTTAGTGTTGCTTTTAGCTTAGAGATATTGTGCAAGTTCCACTTCTTTGGTTTAAAAGAAAGAAACACTATTACATGGAAATCTTATATGAGCATTACACATTTGTGATAAAGAGACCGGTATACTTCTCTTTTTGTTTTGTGAAATTATTTGGGTTATAGTTAGTGTTGCTTTAAGCTTATAGATGATGTTTAAGTGCTATTTTCTCAGTCAGAAGCAGTATTACTTGAGAATTTTGTATGCATGTTGAGTTAGGATCATTGCTCTAGGTTTGGTTCATACTTATGGTCTTGCAACTGATTAAGGCATTTTTGGGCATAGAGTTTTTTTCTTCCAAGTGCGTGGTCAAAATTATGTTCATTTTTGTGATTTGAGTTTGGATATGGGCTTCTGGTTGTTTCTGGAGTCCGGAGTCAAGGTAGTAACCATGGAGGTGGCTGATCCTTTATTTCTGTGAAATTATTTTAATGGCATGTTAGTTTTGCTTTAATCTTAGAGATACTGTACAAGTGCTAATCCTTTGGTTAGTGACTTGGAAATATCATATGAGCAGTACACATAATTGTGGTAATTTCATCTCTTTTCTGCATGGTCTTCTTCGCATGGAATAGTTGTGTCTGATGCATTTATGTGTGGCTGAAGGAGCTTACCGAGTGTATCTTTATCAGTTAGGATCAGTGATCGCAGCGAAAGCCAAAACAAGCCTGTTCTAATTTTAGAATCCAGTTCAAACACTAGGTGCTAAATGCTCCTGTACTAATGTAATTCGAGTGCTAATTCCTTTTTTTTTATCATGTTTCTGTTTGTAAAATGTTCTATTTTTTCTTTGCTCATGCGGAGTTTCAATGGAAAAAGAATATTCCTGTGTTCTAAGTTCTAAGCCAAGTCACATTCACTTGATCTTGTATCCATAGGTTATTGCCGATTTTATTTCAATACAGATGACTGATCTGTTCCTTCTGTTTCATATGATAAACAACAATTAATGGTGAGTCTGAACATGGTCACTCTTCCGGTACCAAGTGTTATTTCGACGGATATTTTGCTAGTGGACAAGTTGTGTTTGTATCCTTGATAAATGATAATACATAGATAAAATGATAACTCCCTTTGGTTTTGTTTCATATACTTTTGTCATTCTACATTCAGATGAATAAAAGCATCTTATATGATTGGTCAATGTGTCTGCAGGTAGAATCTGTGTCCTGCTACTGCAGGGTAGATGGAGGCCTTAAAACTGTTGTCAATGCTAGAAAGTTCGTCCCTGGTGCTAGACTGTGCATGCAACCTGATGTCAAACCGAACAAGCGCAAGTCAAGGAGCTCACGCAAGGAGAGGTGCCGAACTCAGGCGCCACTTCTGCCTGGACTTCCTGATGACCTGGCTATTTCATGTCTGATACGGGTTCCTCGAGTGGAGCACCCTAATCTTCGTTTAGTCTGTAAAAGATGGAGCCGACTTTTATCTGGTAATTATTATTACTCACTGCGGAAGAAATTTGGCATGGCAGAAGAATGGGTTTATGTCTTCAAAAGGGATCGTGATCAGAAAATATCTTGGCATGCCTTTGACCCGGTGCACCAGCTCTGGAAGTCACTTCCTCCAGTACCGCCAGAGTATTCGGAAGCCGTGGGATTTGGTTGCGCTGTTCTCAGTGGCTGCTATTTGTACTTATTTGGTGGCAAAGACTCAGTGCGAGGTTCTATGAGGCGTGTTGTATTTTACAATACTCGGACAAACAAATGGCACCGGGCCCCAGATATGCTACGGAAGCGGCATTTCTTTGGTTTTTGTGTCATAAACAACTGCCTCTATGTTGCTGGTGGGGAGTGTGAAGGGATACAGAGAACTCTAAGGTCTGCAGAGGTTTACAATCCGAACAGGAATAGATGGTCTTGCATTACTGAAATGAGCATAGGAATGGTGCCTTTCATTGGAGTTGTATATGATGGCAAGTGGTTCCTAAAAGGATTTGATTCTCACCGGCAGATTGTGAGCGAGGTCTATCTGCCAACATCCAACATGTGGTCAACCACTGGTAATGAACTGGTTGCAGGCTTACGGAATCCAAGCATTTCATTTAACGGTCGTCTTTATTCAGTGGATTGTCGGGATGCCTGCAAGCTAAGAGTTTATGATGGGGACAAGGGATTGTGGACAAGGTTCATGGACAGTCGACGCCATCTGGGCAGCTCACGGTCTTTTGAAGCTGTGGCTTTGGTCTCACTGGATGGAAAGATCTGTGTTATCCGTAATAACATGGGCATCACCCTTGTTGATGTCTGTGACCCAACAACAGTTATTGAGATTGACAGTGCCCGCATGTGGGAGAGTTTTGCCCGGAAGGGCCAACACAGGTCTTTCATGGCAAACTTGTGGGCAACAATTGCAGGGCGTCATTTAAAGACCCACATTATCCATTGCCAAGTGCTCCAAGTTTGAATGTGTCTGTCTGTCAAGTGGATACATGTTCAAATGTATTTAATTGTTGTCAGAAAGATAATCAGATTTTGAAAGAAAGCCCTTGATTAGAAGCTGAAATATGGATGCCAGGACGACAGTACCCCAGGGGGGGGGGGGGAGGCATCATGTTACCGCAAAATTCTCTGAGGTGTCAACCAAGTTGCTTGATGTTTATCAAAGAGGGGGCCAGAGCAATGGTTGTCATCATGAGACGAACAAGAACCTTCCGTAGCACCAATGGTGTATCCGGAAGCACCCGTGATCTTTCTGAGCTGACACTTTAGGATTTTGGTTAGCCGATGCTGCTGGCGATAGGCAGCAGAAATTGCACTTCACCCTCATGTCCATGGATGTGGTTTTATTCCTATTTGGCATATGTATTGTAGCAGCAGACTATATAGACTTGAAATGTAAGAAATGGAATAACAGTGTTTGGTTTGTGCCAAAACCAATGCTACCCCAAATTTGGCTAGCCAACGTTGGCAACAAGTTTGGCTTGATGATTTGGGCAGAAACCAAATCACACCCTAATTCTATGTTTATGCTTTGGAATTCCTTCTTGGCTGGGAACTTTTGGCATCTGCAAGTGGATGCAATGTGGCTATATATTCTGAATGGAAAAGATTGTCATAGATATTTCATGTATGAGTTGCAATCTTTGCAGTGATCAGCTGATGCAATTACTAATATCATGTATCCAAGGAATCTATGTTTGTTTTATTATTTACAAAAAATAGAATTGAAAGGGTGGAATAAAAGAAATTTTGGTTATGGAATGACCTGGGCCAGTGGTGCAGTGCATGGTATCCCTCCACTGATGAAGAGATGAGCCAGTAGAGTAATTCTCATTAGATGGATACAAATGGAAACATATGAGAATTTTTTTTTTGCGGATGGAAACATATGAGATTTGAGCTCACTGAAGTAATTTTCATTAGAAGAACCAAAATGGAAACATATGAGATTTGAGCTCAGTAAAATAATTTTCATTAGAAGAATATAAATGGAAGCATATGAGAGATTGAGCCTGGTAAAATAATTTTCATTGGAAGAATCAAAATGGAAACATATGAGATTTGAGCTCAGTAAAATAATTTTCATCAGAAGAATATAAATGGAAGCATATGAGAGATTGAGCCTGGTAAAATAATTTTCATTGGAAGAATAAAAATGGAAACATATGAGATTTGAGCTCAGTAAAATAATTTTCATTAGAAGAATACAAATGGAAGCATATGAGAGATTGAGCCCAGTAAAATATTTTTCATTAAATGAATGAAAAAATAAAAAACATACGCGACTGAGCCACCGAATTTTCCATTAATAAATTAAAAACAACAAAAAAGATGGTGGTCTGTTATGGAAGGACTCCGAACCAGAACGGGCCCATGGTGCAGCGGCCTGTTAACCTTCCACCGTTGGAAGCGGACAGTGAGCGCTGCTCTGTGAAACCAGCCTAACGCGGTGCCTGTCACTTCAGGGACAGAGAGGCCGAAGCTTTCGCAACAGCCCCCCAGCCCACTACCAACTTGGACCGGGCAGGCCAGCATGTTACAACACGAGCCCAGGTCCAGAGTCCGCACCAAACATCCAACACCACCTTAACGCCCCCACATGGGTGACAAGCTCTCGTGACTGAGCTCGGCGATTGCACTGCGCCAGCCGGGTATTTAAGCTGGTGTTTCTGCTTGTCGACAAGCGAGGTGGGACTAAAGATGGTGGAGTGGGGTGACCGATTTTTGTGTCCGCGGCGGACTGGCGGGTTGTAGGCTGGAAACAGGCCGACGCACGACTCGAGGCTGTGGGCTGTTGTGGGCTGTGTGCTCTTTTTCCTTCCCATTTCCACTCCGTTCGGTCTGTTTCCAGCAGGCCTCGTACTGATCTTTTTCTCCTTTTTAGGCGTTTCTCTTGATGGCTGAATGAAGTTATATTGAAGGCACTCAACTTTACAAAAAAAAGTACCGATGACTCAGTCAATTTATGGTTATGCTTATCGGTTGCTTGACGATCATTAGACAGGACGAAAGAGATGATGAAGACAACTGCGATGACGAACTAATGATAGTATTTTTATGTCGATGATCCGCGCATATCCGACCTTCCATTTGCACGCAAGTCAAGACCATGGGCTGCTAAGCCCCTGCACCAGTGGTCAAGGGGATGCCATACCAGGGGCTGCTAATAATGTGATCAAGAGAAATACAATATGATTCTCAAAAATGAAAAAGAGGAATATATTACTGTATATAGGAAGAAACCTGACACTGCCAAATCTACTTCGTCCTTCGGATGGAGACATCTCTGTACTCTTTAAACATGAAAGAGTTTGGATGCTTGCTTGGCCCATGTGGCTGACAACTTGACACAGTTTTAAAACTAACCCATATTACCTACCCACACAAATTTCCTGCTAAAGAACTCTGATTTTCATGCACCCTGTAAAGTCCCAAAAAATAAACTTTGCGCGGCGTATATAGGGAATCTTACATCACATGAGAGCTACTAGTGCTGAAGAATTATTGGTGTCTGCTAGTCTGATAGGCCAGTTTGGTCACCTTTTTAGCGAGACGGCGCCGACGAAGCTCAGTTAAAGGTGGTCTTACCACCTAATACGTTCATGATTCACGACTGGCAGGCAAGCAGAGGCGGCTATGGTAGCTCCTGGTGTCCTGGATGACCAACTTTTGCCATGCACGCATGACTTGATCAGAGATCTACCAAGATCTGTATACGACTTCAGGGCATGAAGTCTGTTCTTGAATTCACATTGTTTTGCTGACCGGCTACAGTGATTTTGTTTTTACTGAATGAAAGGTGAATTTACCCTGTGGAAGATATGGACTCTACAAACGCTATGACTTTCAAGCAACAAAATCAGCACAGTATCTTCACCCTTAAGCGAATCATTGACGACCTCATGCTTTGGACGCACCGGATGAAGAAAGGCACAAACAGTCCGCCTCCTCGTGTAATTCACCTTTGTAATCAGGCAAACGCTGGGTTACAAATTTGAGAAATATATTCAGGTGGAGAGCTAGCTCCCCCCGGGTGATTTTTCAAAAAAAGAGAGAGGTGAAATTAACAATGATTGTAACTCTGTTGGGACACAAGGTATCCTTCTGTTCTATTGTTTGAACTAGTTTTTTACCGGTGGCTCTGCTTAACTGATTGACGAGTTACCGCTAGCTTGCAATGCACATGCTGGTATGAAACTGCCAGTATATAGCTAACGAAATTAACATACATAGTAACAAGCACATGCTCAAATTTCTGTTAAAGACATATCATTTCTTGTTTTCTCAGAACTTAGGATTAACTTTCTTTTACTTTTTTGATTACTTCTTGAGCTCTGAGCGAGCTTATTCTGGACCGGGGGTAATCCTCCTTAATAAAGGGGCTGCATGCATCTTTCTGATGCAGAGGCCAGGGGTATCCTCTTTTTCTAAAAAAAAAAACTAGCACCTCATTTCACTTTCACCTCTTTTCTATTGTCACAAGTCCTCAAAGGCATCATACCTATTTACTATTTGTTTCACCACATTGTTTTGTCGTGTTGTGACCCATGTGTTTGGCGTTTGTGGTTGTAGTTTGTTGGGACCGTTTGTCGGCCGGCCTCGAGGATTCATGCTTTAGTAGTGATAAGCACGTGGTCAAGTTTGTAACGGTTTTCATGCAATTGTTGTAGCTTGGCAATTCTCTTCTACTTAATTAATCGATGTGACAAATCTTTTGCCTTCAATTCAAGTAAACGTGAAAGTGTCTTAAGATTTCATTCTACATAGGGTCTTAATATAAATGTGAAAGTGTGCAATGTTTGCACACTTTCACATTTAATGCCAACCGTCCGTGTACCATCATTTTAATATACCTTGATGTACAAGTTATTTTTACCAGCGATCCTAATTTCTATGGAGAGGTTGAAGTTAGGTTTTCCTTAATTAACCAAGAGGTGTACTGTTTTTTTATCCGGTTTCCCTCCTTATCTGGACAATCTCTCTTCTTCTTGATGCAATTGTTCAGTATACGAGCATTAGAGATCGCTTTTAGTTTTCAAATGATATTTTAATAAATCTCTATAAAAATAAAATAAAGAAAGAAAGACCAAAGCCCCTCACAGAACTTCTGAAAGAGGCGAGAACCCAAAGTCTCGTCCGAGTTGGCTTGGCTAGGCCCAACATCCATGCAACTATTCATTTGGCCTCGAGTAGATATACAACTAGCAGGTGTATTATTATATTTATATTTTCTTGAAAAATATCATACGGTAAACTATAGTTCAGAATGTAGCAAAAATGTGTTTCTCATGAAACATGTCCATACTTTGATAGTGATATTTTCATTAAGTGCATTGGGTTGTTACAATAAAGATGGACATACAAAAGATTGATGAATATTTTACTGTTCCCTCTCAATCTTGCTCCACTCTCGCTCCTCCATTTTTTTCGAATCTTACCAATTTGAGGTTATTTTGACCAAGAGCTAACCTCCTATTTGAACCTAGTGAACTCTTTATCCACCCATCTCTTCGTTGGATGTATTATGCCTTTTTCATCTTAGACTAGATGTCTATGTCGTTTCACAATTGCAAGGCAACTTTGACCAGTTTAGCTTATTGAAGAAATGCCATTAAATTCTTTCACACTAACTTTGATGAGGGTTTGTTCTCTCCAAACTTATATTTGTAGTAGAAGTACAACCATGTTGCATACTTGACATTTTCTGGTCTCTCTATCATCATAGCTTCTTTTCTAGTTGCACTCGTATTGTTTACGCTATTTCACACATTCGTCTATGGTGATGAAAGATTCAAATCCATATGATCTCTTTAGGTTCATATGTATTATATTCTAGGGGTTTCTCAAAAAGGAATTATGAAGGTATAGTAAAAAGTTCAAAACATTCTAAAAGCATTCATGTTGCTTGCTCAACCATAATCAACTTGTTTTGATCATGCAATTGTTGTTTCCTAGGGCTTATGCTTGTAGCACCGAAGCAACTTATTACACACTTGACATTATTTATCGACTCTAATATTTACAGCTGCAGTCACGACAAGGGTTTGCTTCCTTCATATGTTACGCCGCTTGTACACATATCACACTAGAAAAGTCCACATATTGTGCCTACATGTCATGCATGTTTTGCACCTAGTCCTGGTGCACGTATACTTGTCTTGCTAGGTCTATGTTATCTTGCACTTGATTCGCAATCCAAACCCTGGAAGCAACTGACAAAGTTCTTCTACATGTAGCAATCCAAACCCTAGAAGCCACTGATAATGGTCTTCCATATGAACCATCATTGTCTCTCGCCGTAGTTATACAAACTTCGCCAGTGACTGTCCATCCAAACATACTTCTATGGGTCTTTATTCCACCGAAGCTAATGTCTTTTTCATACAATTGAATCCATGCATAACTGAACCACACATGTTAATACATCGAAAGCATGCTATGCTAGCGATATTCGTATTGTGTCACTTTTATATCTTATGATATGTAATAGAAATGAAATTGTTTATTTTTTCCACGCTCAGATAGAATTTCATGTATAAGCAAAAGGCAGTTTGCCATACGTAAATCTTATTCTTAGCTTACTAAGCTTGTTATTAATTCATTAATGACATAAGCGATGATGTTACTGCATGCAATACGGGTTTTTTTAGATAGGGTTCAATAGTTGTCCATAGAAGTATGCCATATCAGATATAGTGGTGGGCCTAGAATTTTAGGTGCCACAATTTACATACGTTGTATAGACAAGCAAACTGCCATATGTAAATCTTATTCTAAAATTTAGCTATTTATGGAAACGCATTAAAATTGCTAAGCTTGTTGTTAATTCATCGATGACATAAGAGATGATATCACTGCATGCAATAAATGATACTTTTTTGGATTGAGTACCATAATTGTCCATTAGAAGGATGCCATAGATATAGTGCGGGCCTAGAATTTTAGCACCAAGGTTACCTCAATTTACATATTTGGTGTATAGACAACATAACTATAATACACATGCTCAATTTTTGTGAAAAAAATACAATATAAATAGTACCATTTGATTTAAACATAACCACAATCTCTAGTGTTAACTATATATTATAGACCATTTTGCATTTTAATAGGGAGTGTCACGGCACCCATGGCACCACCACTAGATCCGTCCATGACACGACTAAAAAATGATGTGGCACCGAGATATAAATTTTGCTTCCATCACACGATACACCGCTTGCACACATATAATGCATTGGATGTATATGTATATTGTGCTTACACAACACCAAGCGTGTTTTGCACCTGGTCCTGTTGCATACCTACATGTCTTGTTTGGTTAAGCGTCATCTCGCACTTGACTACCAACCCATAACCCGGAGGCCATCGCCGAAGTTCTTCCACAACCAAGCACCGTTGTAGTAGCTACGAACTTCGCCATGGCCACCATCCAAGCATGCTTATATGGGCCTTTGCGATCTACTCGTACAATGCCTTTTCACACACAATTGGATCCATGCATGTTGATTCACCTAACTAATTCGTACATGTCAATACATCAACGACACACTATGCCAACGATAGTCGTCTCGTGTCACTTTGTTCATCGTATGATACGTAACGGAAATCAGGCTATTCATTTTGCTCCACACTCGGATCGAATTCCATCCATAAACCAAATAGCAAAGTGCCATACAGTAGTATGTTTTCGTATTCTAGCGGTTTAGCTATTCATGGAAACCCATGAAAAAACAATTTGCCGAGCTTGCTATTAATTTGCCAATGACACAAGCGGTGACATCACCACATGCAGTGCATGATTCTTTCTTAGGATTGGGTTCAATAGCTGTCCAAGCAGTGTATTGTTCGTTCTTGGCCAAAACATATACTCCGTCCGTTTTTACTTACTCCCCATATTAGAGTTGATTAAAGTCAAACTTTGTAAAGTTTGACCAAATTTACAGAAAAGAATACAAATATTTAGCATAACAAATCTATATGACGTGGAAGTACATTCAACGACGAATCTAATGGTATTGATTCGTTGTTGTATATGTTAATATTTTTGTCTGTAAACTTTGTCAAAGTTGGTAAAGCTTAACTTTGACCAAAACTAATAGGCGGAGTAAATAAAAACGGAGGGAGTAGTACTGTATTTATGATTATTATGAATGATGATGATATACAATAGGTACTAGTAGATATACAACAAATCTTTTGCATTGATGAATGGCAGCCGGTCCCAAAGGCACGCAAGCTTTGCTTGTGTCCGACTGGCGCCATGGATCAGGAAGCAAGCAAGCGCGGGAGAGAGTCCAAGACTCCAAGAACAGCCCCAAACAACCCTTGAAAAAAAAAGAAGAGAAGAAGAACCCCAAACAAAGACATAATTAATACTGTAAGTGTAGAGAAAGAAAGGAATTAACACTGCTTGACCATCCATGCAGCCGGGGTAAAAAAGGCCGAAACGCCGGTCCGGGGAGAGGGCGGGCCGGAGTCTGAACGGCCCGTTTCCAGTAAGAAAAAAAAGGAAGGCGGAGGAAAAACCTAAAGAAATCGCATCGTCTTTGTCCTGTGGCGGCACTGACGACCGCGCCGTCGCCCTCCTTCCCCACCCCAGGTCGGGGCCCCCCTTCCCCCCACTCGCTCGCCTCGCCAGCTACGTCCTATAAATACCACCGCCTGCCTGCTCATCGGACCAAGCCATCATTCGCCTCGCCGGCCGCCTCCACCTCTCGCTCCCGGCCGACGTCGGAGGCGCCCGGTACGTGCCCGCGGCCGCTCTTGTTCCCCCCTCTTGCGCGCGCGGCGCCTCCTCAGGCCCCGCCATGGCTCGTTCGTTCCTTCGACGAATGCTTTGGTTCTGTCTTTGATTCGTCCTCTCTCTCCGGGAAGTTTTTTCTTAGAAAGATGCGAGTTCGCTGCTGGGATTCAGGGACGGGTTGGGTTGAGGCCGACTGTTTACCGTCCATTCGTTCATTGTGCGTGTCGCGCTGCTGCGAACCACTTTCCTTCCTTATTGTCAGCTATGCGAACTAGTACTTACTTCTTGCCTTGTTATTCCAGCAACATTTTAATTACTCCCCAAATTCACGCCCTCGAACCCCGCCGAAACTTCCGTGCCACACGAATCCCTCCCTTCCAAAGCTAGCTCTTCCGCTGAAGCGCCTTTAAATAACGCCTGCTCTCGTCTGGTCTGGTCTGGTCTGTGGGCGACTAGCAGCTGCAGTAGTAGATGACACAGCTTCGGCTTTGGTTTTCGCAGGGGTGATTCAGAATCTTGGTTCGTAGCAGAGGTTCCGAACCGAGCCATGGCTGATGGCAAGTGCGGCGCGGAGGAGGAGGTGGAGGTCGCCGAGCCGCTGGGGCGGTGGCCCGTGCTGTCCTACGGCGTCGGCCACATGCTCAACGACATCACCTCCGCCTGCTGGTTCACCTACCTCCTCCTCTTCCTCCAAGAGATCGGCCTCGCCCCAAGGTACTACTGCTGCAGTAACCAATGCAGCCATTTTCATCAGCATAAATATCTTCTGACCCTGACCTGATCGTTCATGCCTTGCAGGGACGCAGCGATCGTGATGCTCTCAGGCCAGGTCGCGGATGGGCTGATGACCATCGTCGCCGGGGAGATGGTACAGAAATCAATCCAACTCCATCGAAACTTCGTGTTCTTGCCGCTCGACAGTGAGAACCATGATTCCATGAACAATGGCGCCTGAACAACGTGTGCTGTTTGATCACCTCCCGCAGATCGACCGGTTCGGGCGCTTCAAGCTGTGGCACATCGGGGGCTCGGTCCTCGTCGGCATCTCCTTCTCCTCGGTCTTCGGCGGGTGCCTCCTCTGCACCATCCTGGGCACCGACTCCTACCTCGTCAGGACCATCGGCTACAGCTTCTTCGCCGCCGTCTTTAACATCGGCTGGGCGGCCACGCAGGTCTCCCACATGTGAGCAAACGTCCTTGCTTTGCCTCCTTCAAACTTTGACTGACGAACATTTTACAATCTGACAAGTGTTTTGAACATTACTGATATTTGGTTGTGTTCCCAATCCTTCTGCCTTTCAGGTCGATGGTGAACTGCATGACATCCAACCCCACGAGCCGGGTGGCCATGGCGAGCTGCAGAAACGCTTCCACCATGGTGAGTCCTTCCTACGACCATGCACGCACGGCCATCTTTCTTGACTTGTCTGCTTTCTCTTTGCTTCACGCCACTGCCTCATCTCGTGCCAACATGCTTGCCTGTTCTATGATCTCTATTATGTATATACCTGTCACAACGTGACCCTGAAACAAAAATATGCTGACAGTGAGTGAGTGTGACAAATTACAGGTGGCTAATCTTGGTCTATATGGCATCGCGTTGGCAGTCTTTGGAATAGTGAAGGCAAAGACATGTGCGGACATTGTTGTTCAGGTAACCTTCTCCAAATCAGCTTTGAGTTCTAACATAACAGTAGCTTGTGAGCAAACGATTCACCGTGATTTTATCTTCGCCCGCAGTACAAGTGGATCGCGTACGTGTCCATCTTCGTGGGGTGCTGCTTCCTCGTGCTGTTCCACGCTGGAACGGAAGAGCCCACGTATGCTGACTTGCTGAGACTGAAAAAATAGCAGTTCAGAATGTGCACATAAACAGTGTTTTCTGAAAGAAAATCTTCTTATGGTGTTGCTTGCAGCTTGAAGTGCGAGCCTAACTGCAAGAAACGGGCTCGGATCGCGTGGAGCTACTGGTTCAACAAGACCCTCTACTACCAAGTCGCCCTCCTCTACATGCTTGCCAGATTGATCACCAACGTCTCTCAGGTTAACTTACACCCTGCTCTCTAATCGCCCTAGGCTAGATGTTCTTGGTGAAGATCATTTCTGGTGGAATTTGATTTCTGAAGATTTGCTTCGGCATCATGGTGTGATGAACTTGGATTATGAACACTATTGTTCTGTGGTTTGCAGTCGCTCATCGCGTTCTACGTCACCAGAGATCTGAAGATGAACGAATACTCCAAAGCCACCGTAAGTTCTTCAGTTCATCACCACCAATTTGAGTACCGTGATCTTCTTGGTTCAAGCGTTTGATCTTTGACGACGGGTTTCTGCAGATTCCGGCCATCATATTCTGCTGCAGCTTCTTGGTCTCCGTGGTGCTCCAGGAGATGAGGTGGAACAGCCGGCGGCTCAAGTCGCTGCTGACGATCGGGGCGACGCTGTGGGTGATCTCCGGCGCGGCGGTGTTCCTCCTCCCGAGCCAGATGCACAACCTCATGTACCCGCTGGCCGTGGTCATCGGCGCCGCCAACGCGCTGGTCATGGTGACCACCATCGGGCTGGAGAGCGCGCTGGTCGGCGAGGACCTCAACGGCTGCGCCTTCGTCTACGGCTCCCTCAGCTTCCTCGACAAGATGTCCTGCGGCCTCGCGCTCTTCGTGCTCGAGTCCTACGACGTCGCCTCCAGCTGCGGCGAGGAACGGGGGCTCAACACCGTCAGCAGGTACGGCACCGGGCTCATCCCGGCCTGCTTCGCCATCCTCGCCATCCTCGTCGCCTCCACCCTCAGGCTGCAGGACGACGACGTTGCCCGCGCCGACCGGAGGGCCAGGGCTTCCGCCGCCGCCGGCGCGCTGGAAGCTCCGCTCCTCGTCTGAATCAGTTCCCGCCCTCTGTTCGTATGTGGGAAAGAATTTGGGAAATGCTGATCCTTTTTCAATTAGATTTGAAAAAGGAAGGTAAGATAAGATGTACTATCATCGTCGACATGCCGGTGGTAATCGTGTAATGCAGCTCTTTCCAATTAGATTTGGGAAGATGCTCGTCAGTTGTTTATCACATACCATCAGACAGTCCCAGCTCCAATTTTGAGTGAAGTTTCAGGCGCATAATAAAATTCAGGAGTATTTAACGAAAAACTACCACATCTCGTCAAATCGTGCCTATAAAGTACCACTTGACAAATTTGTGCCAAAAACTATCACTTTTTAACTAATTTTTTCTCAAAAACACTAGTGATTGCGTGGCCGAAATTAAACATGATTATGACAGGGTTGGCCCACACGTAGGCGATGACATGGCACAGTAGTCAACTCCGTTAGATTGACCGTTATGACATATGGGGCCCGTATGTCAGTGTTGGTAAAATTTCTCAAGTTTCTAATGAACATACTAATTACATTTTTTTCTGAGAAACACATACTAAATGCAACTAGTTAGGCTAATCTAACCATGCGGGCCCTGTGGACAGTGGCCCATCTAATCCTAACAAACCACTAACCCATCCCTAACCTACCCACTAACCCATCACCTAACCAATTCTTACCGCTCGCGCCGCTCTGCCCAGGCCGTCGGTGGATACGCCGCCGGAATACTGCCGGCCGGGACGCGCCGTGGGAAGGCCCAGGCCGCCGCCCGGTGTCTCGCCGCACCTGCAGGTCGCGCCACGGGGAGGCCCAGGCCGCCTCCCTATGGCTCGCCTCTCCAGATATGGCCGCGCCATAGCTTTCCTCCTTGCGCTGACGAGGCCACCGGCCGTCCCCCGTCCATTCTTCATGTCCAGAAGATCCGCCACCTCGCGCCGGTCATTTCCACGGAAGAACTCGTCCGCGGTTGTACTGCACCAACCGAATGAAGCCGTCTTCCTCGCCGGCACCCGAAGACCAAAATAGTCGATTCGTCATCTACAGGTCCTCCTTGACCTCGAAGCCGACGCCATATGATACGTTATGAGCTTCCCCATCTTTTCCCTCTGCTCTAGCTATCGCGTTGGTTTCGTAGTTATCGTTCCACAAGCTCCGAGCTCTGACCGCCGCCATGACCGACGAGGCAACGAGTTCCATGCTCCAGAGTTCCTTTGCTCGAACCCGTTGCATACGTGCGCTCGTAGCGTTCCCAAAAACTAGTAGTGCCGCTTAGTTTGCTTGGCAGCCAGCCACGACCTCACACCCGTGCACAGCCAACACCGAAAACGGCCGGACAAGCTCCAACACAAGGTGTTTGTTAAAATACAAGAGAGATAAGAAAGAAGAGGGTTGACGTGTGGGCCCCATTTGTAATAACGATCAAAGTTAACGGTCAACCTGACTTGTGAGCCCATTCTGTCAGAAAGGCATTTAGAAAAGGCGATTTGGGTACTTTCCCGATATGGCAGTTTTTAGTCAAATATTAGTTAAAAAGTGGTAGTTTTCGGCACAAATTTATAAAGTAGTAGTTTGTAGACACGCTTCGGCGAAATGTGGTAGTTTTTTTTAAATACTCAAAATTCAGAAGGATCAAATTTGTAAAAAGATTCAGGACAACAAATTTTTCAAAAGGAACTTGTTTGATCGTGGAGGGTTCTCTACAGATGGTCACATTATTGTACAAGAGGAACAGCGCAAGGAAAAAAAGACTAGCTCGAACACTGAAAACATTCATGGAAGAACTGTGGCAAGAAATGCAGAGGGGTGGTGCTCATTCACAGCTCGTCGTCCTTGCGGTGCTTCTTGCCCTTGCCGTCGGCTGCCGCGCCGGTGACCTTGTCCTTCACCTCCCCAACCTTCTCCTTCACCTTCTCGTACCCCTGGTTGGCCTTCCCCTTGGCCGCCTCCGCCGTCTCCCAGGTCGTGTCCTTGGCCGCCTCCGCCGTCTCCCACGCGGCGTCCTTAGCCGACGCCGTCTTCTCCAACGTGGCGTCCTTGGCCGCCCCTGCCTTCTCCCCGACAGTGCCCTTGGCCGCCTCGGCGTTCTTCCACGCGGCATCCTTGGCGGCCGCGGCCTTCTCCGCGGCGGTATCCTTCGCTGCCGCTGCCTTCTCCGCGGCCGTCTGCTTGGCCGCGCCGGCTTTCTCCGCAGCGGCGTCCTTCACGTTCGCGGCCTTCTCCGACGCGACGTCGTTGTATTGCTTCAGCTTCTCCTGCGCCTGCCATGTGGCGTCCTTGGCGGACTCCGTCGTCTCCCACGCCGCGTCCTTCGCGGCGCGGGCCTTCTCGGTGGCGGCATGCTTCGCTGCCGCTGCCTTCTCTGCTGCCGTCTGCTTGGCGGCGCCGGCCTTCTCCGCGGCTGCGTCCTTCGCAGCCGCTGCCTTCTCAGCGGCCGTCTGCGTGGCGCCACCGGCTTTCTCCGCGGCGGCGTCCTTGGCTGCCGCTGCCTTCTCCGCGGCCGTCTGCGTGGCGCCGCCGGATTTCTCGGCGGCGGCGTCCTTGGACTGCTTCAGCGTCTCGTACCCCTGGCCAGCCTTTTCCGCAGCCGTGTCCTTCGCGGTGCCGGCCTTCTCGGCGGCCGCGTCCTTGGTTTGCTTCAGAGTCTCGTACCCCTGTCCGGCCTTCTCCTTGGCCGTCTCCTCAACCTTGGCCTTGCCCTGCTTCGACCGCTCGTGCGTCTTGGCGCCAGTCTTGGCGGCCGCCTCCGCGGTCTCCTTGGTCTTGTGCTTGGCCTGCTCCGCCTTCTTAGACGCCTCGCCGGCCGTGCCCTTCACCGTCTCCGCCGCCTTGTCCTTGGCCTGCCCCGCCTTGTTGGCCGCCCCGGTCGCCGCCTGCTCCGCCGCCTCCTTGGCGTCCGAAGCCTTGCCGCTCGCCTGCCTCCCCGTCTCTGCAACACACACAAATCAACGACCGTCATCAGCATCAGTGTCATTCAGGATGAACAGCGTGCCGAGCGCGGCTGCGCGGGAGCACGCATACGTACCGGAGGCGGTGTGCTGGACGGTCTCGCGGGCGGACTTGACGGTGTGCCCGGCCTTGCGGGCGGCCTCCTCCTCGTCGGCGTGGTGCTTGAGCCCCAGCCCCTCGGAGATCTTGTCCTTGGCCCACCCCGTCCACGACTCTTCCTCCTTGCCCGGCGCCACCTCCGCGCCGCCCGGCGTCGTCTTCGCCGCGGACGCCGCCTCGGCGGCCTCCCGCGTCGTTTTGGCGGCCGCGGGCGCCGCCAGCGCGAGCAGCACCAGCAGCGCCGCCGCCGCGAGCCTCTTCGACACCGCCATTGATTGGATTGATTGTCCCGAGCTGCTCGTGTTGTGTGCTTTGCGTGCTCTGAATGGAGGATTGCGAGGGAATCAGTGGGAGTGATCGGGTTTGGGTTTTGTGGCGCGGCGCGGGGTTTTATGGGGCGGGAGGGGGCGGACGCGTGGAGGGGTTGGTGCGGGCGAGGCGGGTGGCGCGGCGACGGGTGTCCGGGCAGGGTGTCACGTAGCCCAGACACGTCGTCGTCTTGCTCTAGTCGGCACACACGCGGCCGTCGGAACTCGGGAGGCGATGGCTCTGAATTCGCAAGCTGCTTCTAGTCGCTTCGGCGCCTTCTCTTTGTCCAGGTGAACCTCGTGTGTGTGCGGACACGACGGACCGTTGCGAGCTTTTGATTCGCATGATTTCTGGAATAGTAGAAAAGAAATGCGGGATAATACACAATTGTATGTCAACTTACATTTTTATATGATTTGGAAAACACGGGAATTTTGTATGTAATGACATAGGAAAACATCATGAATTACAGAATGAGGTTTAAGTGGATGAAAATTCTCGTTCAAAATGGGATGCAAAAGCAATCTTTGCTCTTTTTTTTTTTGAGAACAAAGGCAATCTTTCCTAAGTACCCATCCTAATCCTAAAAATCTAACGGCTTTTGTTGAGAAATTAATATGGGTCTAAATCTTCCAAAAACCTTATACAGTTCTTTTGAATGAAAGGAGCACTTGGGGCTTATTTGGTTTGTACGATTCTAAAATATTGTAGCAAGAGAAAAACACAAAAATAAGATAAAAATGCATGAACAAAAAATAAGGATAGAAATATATCGGATTTTTTTTTAAGTTTAGACGTTTGGTTAACAGAAATAAATAAGTACACGACTCTTGGGATCAAATTTTCCCAGACTCTCCGGGTGTCTAGTCTCACTTGTTTCATTTTGGACCATGTTCCACTAGTAATTTCGGTGTGCACATCTTTTCCTCGTCCTTCACTTTTTATATTTGAATTAGGTTGGGCCTAAAACCCGCCCTGTAGGTCGGTCATTGCCTCATATTGGGCCTCGGCCCCTATTCGCCAATCTGTCTGAGGGAGTCCTGGATTAGGGGGTGTTCGGATAGGCGAACTATACCTTCAGCCGGACTCCTGGACTATGAAGATACAAGATTGAAGATTTCGTCCCGTGTCCGGATGGGACTTTCCTTGGCGTGGAAGGCAAGCTTGGCGATGCGGATATTCAAGATCTCCTACCATTGTAACCGACTCTGTGTAACCCTAACCCTATTCGGTGCCTATATAAACCGGAGGATTGTAGTCCGTAGGCAATCAACTCCATACACAACAATCATACCATAGGCTAGCTTCTAGGGTTTAGCCTCCTTTATCTCATGGTAGATCTACTCTTGTACTACCCATATTATCAATATTAATCAAGCAGGAGTAGGGTATTACCTCCATCGAGAGGGCCCGAACCTGGGTAAAAAACATCGTGTCCCTTGTCTCCTGTTACCATCCGGCTTTGACGCACAGTTCGGGACCCCCTACCCGAGACCCGCCGGTTTTGACACCGACATTGGTGCTTTCATTGAGAGTTCCTCTGTGTCGTCGCCTTTAGGCCCGATGGCTCCTTTGATCATCAACAACGATACGGTCCAGGGTGAGACTTTTCTCCCCGGACAGATCTTCGTCTTCGGCGGCTTCGCTCTGCGGGCCAA